TGATCTTCTTTTGAAAAGTCCAGTAGTCCAACAGAAGGTGTCCAGTTGTGCAGTACTGGAAACACCTCCTAGCTGAAACACTGATTTCTGTGGAACTCTTCTATATTATTCCTTCATTTTCAGATATAATCAAATTCAGTAAAAACTAAGATGATCGGGTCTCCACTTGCAGAACAGTGTCTAGAGGTATCTCGCTTTTGGAAGGTAATTTTTTAAACACCTATTTTCTTTTTTTTTTTTTCTAATTATTCTACCAGAAATCCTGTAACAAACTAAGCTTGTTTGTTTATTTCTTTACTGTTATACTTCCATTTGTTTATCTTTATTTGAATTGCACACTAACTTCTGCTGAACAATGATACAATCTTGCAAATGACAAAACTTATATTTTTTATTGCAAAGTCTTGCTATATCCTTTACTACACCATAGCTGAAACCATGTTCTGAGTGACTGGACACAGACCTTACAGCTGAAGTGTTTGTCTACTCAACAGGGTTTCACTATATGAAAGGAAGTATATAAAGTACACGTAAGCAACGAATTAAATGTTAACCTGGGAAAGACTGCTCCAGAACTGTCTAAAGGCACCCAGGCAGCTGATCAGTTTGGTTCTCTCATCTTCAGGAGTGTCCATGAACATACTAAGGGAAAAAAGAACACTGACTATTAGCAGTACCCAATGAAAGAGCACCAGTAGAAAATTACATGTCTACAGAAGATCTTGCATAAACAAACTAGCATTACACTCACCCAGGAAAAGCTTCTTCAATTACTTCTGTTTTCTGTAAGAGAAAAACCCCAAGTGAGCTATTGCGAAGAAGTTTTCCATGAGTATCACACCACCAGGATGAAGCACAACAGAGTAACAATCATACTGTTATGGGACTGTATCAGACAGGTGTATTTCTTCTGCTATGCTAGACTCTTTCAAAGTTGACACTGTTTTGTTTTCATATAAATATCGTACCTTGTGGATCCAGGCTAAGGCTCTTTGCATTGGGTTTTTTTCACCTAAAAACCTAGAGATTAATTTACTTTCCAAAGCTGGAGAAGATGTTCAATTCTGTCATTGCAGCTCTTCTTTCATACTTTGAAAATACCATCCTACAACTTTTTTTACCTTCTGTAAGAATTTCATATTATACTCAGCTGTGATCTCTAACTGACCACTGTGTATTTCCATTTTTATATTGCAGAAGTAAGACCGTATAACAAAATAATCTTTCTGGTGATCCTTTTCAATCACACAGCCTAGAACCGCCTGTCACTGCTACTCATAGCTGTCTCAAGAAGAGAAACCGATACTCATCTGTTCTGCACAGGAACTCAGGTAACTTATTTCACTGCTGTCCACCAAGCTGGTAACAGCAGCAGTGAAATTGCTTTTTCTTGCTATTTTCTTGGTTATGGCAAATCCTATGAAATGTTCTAAGGGCTTTTTTTGTTTTGTTCCATAAAAAGTTTAACCAAAAAACATTGCTCAAAACCAGGCAATGTGACGACACAGTCAGATCACAATGTTAAAGACACAAAAACATAATCTGAATGACAGTCTCAAAAGGAGAAACCAAGTAAGTATGGGCAATTGATATGCTATGAGCAACTTAACACCCTCCAAACAAAAGCACATCACGCATTTTATATCGCAAACTTAAAAGAGAAAGAAACAACCTTCCCTCTACTGAAATTCATCATATGGACATAAATTTTCAATTACACTGCTCTATGAGACCTAAATCTCATTTTCAGTTCAGATGGTTTGACCAGCCTCCTGTGCCCAAGACATCAGCCAAGCTCCTCTTAGGACCTTATCAGCTACTGTCACCCCAGTGTTTCCAACCATGGAGTAGCAATATCTACCAAGAAGCTCATTCATTTGTGCTCCACAAAACAATGACTTAATGACCCCATGACTTGGGTTCACAATGGGAGAGTCCTGTTTAACTAATGTGACATCCTGCTATGGTAAGGTCACCTGCCTAGTGGACAAAGGGAAGGTGGTGGATGTATTTTGTGGATTTTAGTAAGGCTTTTGTCACTGCCCCTCACAGCATCCTTCTGGAGAAGCTGTCCAGCTGTGGGATGAGTGGGTTCACAGTGCACTGGGTGAAGAACTGGCTGAATGGCAAAGCTCAAAGGGTTGTAGTGAATAGGGCTATGAGTGGCTGACCGGCCAACAGCGGTGTTCCTCAGCGTTCAGTTCGAGGGACAGTTCTGTTCAGTGTATTTACTGATGACCTGGATGCAGGAGTTAAATGCACCATTAAGCAAGTTTACAGATGATACCAAACTGGGAGGTGCTGTTGACTCCCTGAAAGGACAAGAGGCCTTGCAGAGGGATCTAGATACATTGGAACATCGGGCCATGATTAATGGGATGAAATTCATCAAGTCCAAATGTCAGATTCTTCACCTAGGATAGATTAATGCCAGGAAAAAGTACAAACTGGGAGAGGAGTGGCTGGAGAGCTGTGCTGCAGAAAGTGATCTGGGTGTGCTGGTTGACAGCAGGCTCCATAGGAGTCAGCAGAGTACCCTGGCAGTCAGGAAGGCAAACTGCATCCTGGGCTGCATCACACACAAGCATAACCAGCTGGTCAACAGAGATGGTTATGGCGCTTACAGCGCTGGTGTGGCCTCCCTCCCCTTTAGCACTGTGTCCAGTTCTGGGCCTCACAATTTCAGAAGGATGTGAAGGTCCTTGAATGCCTCCAAAGAAGGGCAACAAAGCTGGTGAAGGGGCTGGAAGGAATGTCCTACGAGGAGCAGCTAAGGCCTTTGGGGTTGTCTAGCTTGGAGGAAAAGAGGCTGAATGGCAACATCACTGCTCTCTACAGCTTTCTGAGGTGGGGAAGTGGAGAGGAGGCTGCTAATCTCCCTGTTATCCAGTGACAGGACATGTGGGAAGGTTCCAAGCTGCACCAGGGGAGGTTTAGACTGGACGTTAGGAAGCATTTCTTTAATTTCTTTCCAGGTAAAACTCTGAAACAGACTTCCTAGAGAGGTGGTCGATGCCCCGTGCCTCTCGGTGTTTAAAAGGCATTTGCGCAATGCCCTTAATAACATGCTTTAACTTTTGGTCAGCCAACTTCACTGCAGTAAACTCGGCACGCTAATTTGGTTTTGGGTAGGCCACCTGCCTCCCCCAGTGTTATGCCCAGTCCTTCTCTGTACCAGCTCCCTGGTTAAGAGCTGAGCAGAGGGGGAGTTTCAGCCCTGAGAAACCACGTCCCCTCACCTCCCGGGCGCACCACGCCCGCCGGTGGGAACGGCACAGGCTGCCGCCCTGGAGGACGGCGGTGCTGGACACCCCCGGGGTGCACCAGGAAAGTCAAACCCCTCTTTCTCCTTGGTTTTCTTATCTTCCTCGGGATGGCCCCCCCGC